GGATGCAAAGAGGACTCGATCCACAGCGCTATCTAGAGCACAATCGCGGCATGGCACATCGCAGTTCAGCACGGCGCAGCACAGCACAGATTTCGGCATGGTGCATCAAGATCGATACACTCAGCATTGCAGCTTGGCACGTTCCGTGGGGCGTCCCTTGGCGAGTCCCCCTGGCACGTCGCGTGGCGCGTCCCCTGGCACGTCCCGCGGCACGTTCCGTAGCGCGTCTCCTTGGCACGTCCCGCGGTGCGTGCCCATGGCACGTCCCCTGGCACGTCGCTTGGCGTGTCCTTTGGGATGTTCCGCGGCGCGTCCTCCTGGCATGTCCCCCTGTCGATTAGTTCTGGGGCAGCTACTATGTGTTCAGGCAGCTCGAGCTTAAGATCCAGATCAGTTCGGTCAGGACTCGGATGCAAAGAGGACTCGATCCACAACGCTATCTAGAGCACAATCGCGGCATGGCACATCGCAGTTCAGCACGGCGCAGCACAGCACAGATTTTGGCATGGTACATCAAGATCGATACACTCAGCATTGCAACTTGGCACGTCTGGGGCGTCCCTTGGCGAGTCCCCCTGGCACGTCGCGTGGCGCGTCCCCTGGCACGTCCCGCGGCACGTCCATTGGCACGTTCCGTAGCGCGTCCGCTTGGCACGTCACGCGGTGCGTGCCCATGGCACGTCCCCTGGCACGTCGCTTGGCGCGTCCCTTGGGACGTTCCGCGGCGCGTCCTCCTGGCATGTCCCCTCTGTCGATTGGTTCTGGGGCAGCTACCATCTGCTCAGGCAGCTCGAGCTTAAGATCCAGATCAATGCGGTCAGGACTCGGATGTTAAGGACGACTCGATCCACGACGCTATGTAGAGCACAATCGCGGTATGGAACATCGCAGTTCAGCACGGTGCAGCACAGCACAGCCCCTGGCACAGTACATTCAGATCGATACATTCTGCATTGCATTTGCCCGTCGCCCAATCAAGTGTCTTTGAACAGTTGCCATGCCTTACATTTTTATATTCCTTTCCGGGTTCGTGGGTCGATCATGTTGGACTATTTGTTGACCATATTGGGGGTATTTTTTATTCCCGGAAAGGGCACGGGCCCAGGGTTCTCTTTTAGTAGGTAAACCTGTCCCCCGGTGCCTGCTTGAAGGAGGCCGGCGAATTTTTTCCCTGATAAATAACGAGGTCGAAGGAGGCCGGCGAATTAAAATTTGAGGATGTCTCGAGCGAAACGCTTGTTTTTGAGCGCCGGCGAATTAAAATTTGAGGATGTCTCGAGCGAAACGCTTGTTTTTGAGCGCCGGCGAATTAAAATTTGAGGATGTCTCGAGCGAAACGCTTGTTTTTGAGGCCGGCGAATTAAAAATTGAGGATGTCTCGAGCGAAACGCTTGTTTTTGAAATCCCGACCTCACCACACCCCAGCACGACCACACCCCAGCACGACCTCACCACAGCACGACCACACCCCAGCACGACCACGCCCCAGCACGACCGCGCCCCAGCACGACCACGCCCCAGCACGACCCTACCCCAGCAAGACCACACCCCAGCACGACCACACCCCAGCACGACCTCACCACAGCACGACCACACCCCAGTACGACCACGCCCCAGCACGACCACGCCCCAGCACGACCACACCCCAGCACGACCACACCCCAGCACGACCACACCCCAGCACGACCACACCCCAGCACGACCACACCCTAGCAAGACCACACCCCAGCACGACCACACCCCAGCACGACCTCACCACAGCACGACCACACCCCAGCACGACCACGCCCCAGCACGACCACGCCCCAGCACGACCACGCCCCAGCACAACCACCCCCCAGCACGACCACCCCCCCAGCACGACCACACCCCAGCACGACCACCCCCCAGCACGACCACACCCCAGCACGACCACTCCCCAGCACGACCACACCGCCTTGGTTGAGTGGTTGCCTGTCGTCGTGGAATGTTTCGTGGGGTGTCTCGTGGAATGTTTCGCGGGGTGTCTCGTGGAATGTTTCGTGAGGTGTCTCGCGGAATGTTTCGTGAGGTGTCTCGTGGGATGTTTCGTGAGGTGTCTCGTGGGATGTTTCGTGAGGTGTTGCCCCGTTGGGTATCGTGAAAACGTGCCCATGCTCCACATGTCTATATCCCTTTCCGGGTTCGTGGGTCCATCATGTTTTTCCCGGAAAGGGCGCGGGCCCAGGGTTCTCTTTTACTATGTAAACATGTCCCCCGGTGCCTGCTTGAAGGAGGCCGGCGAATTGCCGGCGAATTTTTCCCTGATAAATAACGAGGTCGAAGGAGGCCGGCGAATTGCCGGCGAATTAAAATTTGAGGATGTCTCGAGCGAAACGCTTGTTTTTCAGAAAATGGTGAGGATGTCTCGAGCGAAACGCTTGTTTTGTGTTATAGATTGTCCTCTCCTGGGGACCTGAATTCTGAGGACCACCTCCCAGCACGACCACCCCCCCAGCACGACCACCCCCCAGCACGACCACCCCCCAGCACGACCACACCCCAGCACGACCACTCCCCAGCACGACCACACCCCAGCACGACCCCACCCCAGCACGACCCCACCCTAGCACGACCACACCCCAGCACGACCACACCCCAGCACGACCACACCCCAGCACGACCCCACCCCAGCACGACCACACCCCAGCACGACCACACCCCAGCAGGACCCCACCCCAGCACGACCCCACCCCAGCACGGCCCCACTCCAGCAAGACCACACCCCAGCACGACCACACCCCAGCACGACCTCACCACAGCACGACCACACCCCAGCACGATCACGCCCCAGCACGACCACGCCCCAGCACGACCACTCCCCAGCACGACCACCTCCCAGCACGACCACCCCCCCAGCACGACCACCCCAGCACGGCCACCACCCCAGCACGACCACACCCCAGCACGACCACACCCCAGCACGACCACACCACAGCACGACCACTCCCCAGCACGACCCCACCCCAGCACGACCACGCACCCAGCACGACCACACCCCAGCACGATCACACCCCAGAACGACCACACCCCAGCACGACCCCACCCCAGCACGACCCCACCCCAGCACGACCACACCCCAGCACGACCACACCCCAGCAGGACCCCACCCCAGCACGACCCCACCCCAGCACGGCCCCACCCCAGCAAGACCACACCCCAGCACGACCACACTCCAGCACGACCTCACCACAGCACGACCACTCCCCAGCACGATCACGCCCCAGCACGACCACGCCCCAGCACGACCACTCCCAGCAGCACGACCACCTAGCACGACCACAGCACCCAGCCGACCAGCACCACACCCCAGACCACGCCCCACCCCACGACCACGCCCCCACGACCCACCCCCCAGCACGACCACACCCCAGCAAGACCACACCCCAGCACGACCACACCCAGTCGCACCCCCGTGGAATGTTTCGTGGGGTGTCTCGTGGAATGTTTCGTGGGGTGTCTCGTGGAATGTTTCGTGGGGTGTCTCGTGGAATGTTTCGCGGGGTGTCTCGTGGAACGTTTCGCGAGGTGTCTCGTGGAATGTTTCGCGAGGTGTCTCGTGGGATGTTTCGCGGGGTGTCTCGTGGGATGTTTTGTGAGATGTCGCCCAGTTGGGTATCGTGAAAACGTGACCATGCTGCG